GCAGAACTGCAGCTTTCTACCACCCATAAAGGTGGGCTGGCCACCAGGACAACGGAGAAATGGGACCTTGGTGCCTAGTGGGTCTGTTCTCTTCCTTCTGATGCTGTGAAGTCATGGTAGTAGGGTTTAAAGAGCAATTATCCCCTTCATGTTGCACACAGAAAGAGGTGATAATATGGAATTGCTGGACAGAGGCTTAGTTCATGGAGTGTGTGCCTATGACCTTCCACTGCTGTGCAATGATTAGAGCTCCTGGTGAATCCAGATTGTCAGACTAAGACCACATGGCCTATAACTGTCACTGCTTTCCTGCCCTGACAAAATAAAAAGGGAGAGAAATAAAACAGTGAAAGACATTACAGAGAGCACAACAGCCTAAAATACTTCCTTTTATGTGTCCTGGCTGCTTACAGGAGATTGACCAGATTGAAAATAAAAGTCTAGGGGAACTTTCCTATCACCATTTTTAGAAGTTTAAATCACAGTAATTAATTTACTTCATGCTCTTTCTGGTGTAATAACTACCTACACTAACTGAAGAATCTACCTGTGGCTCCAGAAAATATTAGAGGAACTTATTTTGTAGTTTTCTGTATTTACCCTGAAAAGACAGTAAAATAAAGGGCACTCATTGCCCAGGATATGCTCTGTTATCGGTGATTTGCAATATTTTCAGAATTGGTTTATGTTTGGTTACCAAAGTCATATGTAAACACCTTAGAAAGCAGCTTGGCTTTGACAGCTGCTTTAGCTTCCGTGACTTTCCAAGTGCATAGGCATTCCATTTGAAGTGTTTTTTCCTTAAGTTTGAAAACAAACTTTTCATGTAAGTACCTGAATACAGATTTACATTAATTTGAAAATTCTGACCTCTGCTTTCTACATATCTAGGTCTTTAGTTATGATTAGGTTTAGTTAAAATCTAGTTTTCAACTACTTTGTCAAACATAAACTTTCTATCTTGATTGAATTTCAATTTTTTCAATAATTTATTTTTCGTCTTATATTTAAGGCTGTTAATTATTTATTTGCATGTGTGCTTTATCTTACTTTACGTCCATAAAACAGTCTCGATGATGGCACTCACTGGTTGGCTGTGCCATTCATAACTGGACCATGGCTGTGAGAAGAGGGATGCTTCAGGAGAAAGCAAGCTGCACTCAATGGCAAGAAATAGATACATACACAGACACAGATTTTTTTTAATGCTTATTTGAGGATCACTCTGATAGTTTGTTGTGTACACACTTTGGGGATTTTTATAATGTTATTGGGTATTAAATAAACTAAAAAAAAAAAAAAAAAAGATCTGTTGCTAACTATGAGCAGCAGTCCTTTGCATGACCAGTAAGCTGATACCCACAGCAGCTTATGTCAGGAGCACATATGGTCTCCTACTGCACCAGATTTTATTCACTCACCAACACTTGCAAGAGGGCATATTGGTAAGACCTCCTTTCCCTTTGCCCTCCTCTTCCTCTCAGAAATCTGGTAGTTTTGTTTTTCACTTCTCATTTTATGTCTGTCTCAAGATACAAGGACAACTCTAATAGTCTGTAACATAAAGCAGAAAGGTTCATTGAAACAACAACAAAAAAGTATTTTATTGCCCTGCATAGCAATTTAAATTAAGATATCTTTTGAGTTAAACCCCCAAACATTCAAATGGGAATACAGATTCAATTGTTCTTTTAAACAATAAGTATGGAGGGTTTTTTTATTGAAACTGTATTTAGAGTACAAAAAAGTTACAACTAAATCATAATTCTTTGAATAAAAACATTTATAATGCAAAAGTTGACCAACCATCAGTGATAAACTTCTTTCCTAATGTCTTCATCACATTCCTACAGTATTGCTTATAGGTGTCCAGGAATATAAACCACTCTTTTGCACAGCTATATTACAGCCATTGGTCTTTTTTTTTTTTTTAAATAGAGTTGTTTCCATATGTTGTGCTGTAGCATTTCAGGATGTCTCTGCCTGAGCTATATGTAAGTCTTTATAGATTATGTGTCATCTATATTGGAACCAGAATTAATAATGCAGTTGGGATACAAAACTGGATGTGCACAGAAACAACTGACATTGCAGTCATGGTGTGGTGTTGGGCTGGAAAAAGCAGCTGCTATGAGTTCTGTTTCTTTTTGCTCACACACAAGTGATATAAACTGAAATTCCACAGAAGCTGGCATTTTTGGTTCCTCTTGCAATGCAGGTGCACAAATTGGCACTTTCTTCTAAGCCACATCTAAAGAAAAATCTTGGCTCATAATGGATATGCCAAAATTTGACAATAGGCTTAAAATATGCATAATGACTAACTCCCACCTAGGTATATGCAAAAGGCCATCACATTCTAGCACCAGCCTTGATTTTGCCAGGATAGGCACTACAGAACAAATGATGTGCATGCAAAGAACATTCTGCACGTAGGCTGTTCCCATGCAAAGAAAATTCTGCACGTAGGCTCAGGAGCTCAAGGTGCTCACTCATGTGCACAGGCGAGGTTTGTGTGAATGTGTGCACATGTGTGCCTGGTATGGGCAATGTGCTGTGCCCTGAAGTGGGGCAGAGCTGAGTGAAGTGTGACGATGGTGCTGAATGAAGAATGGATGACCTTCCTCCTTACCATTCCTGTTCTGTGTGCTGCTGTGTGACTTCCCATCTTGAAAGGCTCTACTGCCTTTCAGCAGATGGATGGAAAGCACAAGGTTAACAATATCAAGCAACTAAAAGATTGATTAGGCAGAAATACCTCAGTGACTACATATTTCAAGTGAAGGAAAGAGAGGCGAGTTTGATAAAATTCCCTCATGGGGGAGGTGAGGTGGAGCTTGTTGGCTAAAGTGCAGGCAGACAAAGCAGCAGGGCTTGCCTGTGTTCACCGAGAGGCAGCCTAAGAGGAGCTATTGTTAACTTGTTGCAGCTTGCAAGCACCGTGTAGAATCACAATTGGCTGTAATTGCATTGCCAGGGCAGGCTGCAAGAACAGGCGTGGGCCTGGTAGTTGTGGACATGAAGGAAAGTATCAGACTACAGCACCGGCTATTTACTAAATTTCCTCTGTTGTCCAGCCATGATGAGTAAACACATAGGTCACGACAAAGGATGATTCACTTCAGATTTATGAAGAATTGCTGAAACTTTTACAAATTACCTGTCCTCAGTATCCACTACCTGCAGATGACATCTTCATTTGCTGATCCCTAGATGGTCTACTGCTGCATTGCAGTTCCTGGAGCTCCTAACTTCTTTTTAGAAGAAATTCTGTCACAGAGAAAGGACCAGGGGGAAGACTTATGTAATCTGGCTGTCATTTGCATAATATGAAAAGCATCTGAATTAATAAATTAGTATATTTAAAACTCTATGAAAACACTCAGTTTGAAAAAAATCCCAATTATAATAAATTAATCCATATCCTTCCAACAAACGATGTTTGAAAGAAGTTTTATCATTGTTAAAGAAAATTTCTTTTGAAGACACCTGCAACTCATATTTTGTGGCCACTTCAAGTGTACATTTCTCATTCACTACATGCAGCCATGTTTTATGTTAGGTAATACTTTTTTTTCATTTTTAAAAAGCCATTTCTCCTAATTTGAAGAATGTGTATATTGCTTTGTTCTTAACCATTGAACATTTCTCAGACCATTCCAGACCACTTAATTTCCTGTCAGGTTTACCTGGTGGATTTGGTTTCTTCAAATATTTACTTGGTCAAAAGAATGGCACAGTGAGCTCTCATCTGCTCTAGTTGCCAAATTAACTTGTGAAGCCATGTGCTGTGCACACCTTACCAGATGACTGTGACAGTTTTTTACCTTTAAGTCTGCTGAATTATCATTGGATTTTTTTCCATAGACAGCTAATATAAAGCAGGAGGGATTTCATACCCCTTCCAAGACAGAAAATGTTTTTCAGTGGCTGTTGACAGCATCTGTTTGCATTAGCTGCTTACCAGTGGCATTAAAGTTTATTTGAGAATGAAGAGAATGTCTATCCCCAACCCTAATATTTCTGTTCTGATTTGGAATACTACGTCACGACAATTCTATGTGAAAGACTTATTCCAAATAGTATGCAGTACTGTCTGGTATTGTTAAAATATATTAATTTATGACTTGGTTTAATGCTTTGAAATCTTGGCTTATGACACCAACTGAAAAATTAACTTTTACCTTATGTAGAATTTAGACATGAAAACCCCTATTGGACACTCTTACCCCTCTGCCAGCATAAAGTATGAAAAGTTCTTAATTTTACTGTTTTAGTGGATTTTCCTTCTCCCCAGAATGTATATTTGGACTGACAGTAGGAATCATAAGAAACATACTGCCTGGTTACATTACAGGAAATTTTAATATTCCCTTTTGTGACAATACATCTCCATGGAACAGAAACGGACATTCAACAATGCTATTTGTCACCTTTACTTGGTTTTCCTGTGGGGTTTGCATACCATCACAGCTTCACAATGATGCTGCTAATGAAGGATGCTTGTGAGAAGCACTAGTCTGATGAATCTACATGAGCTGACTCTGAGCTGAGTCTCAGAGCCTGCAGTTGCAAATAATGGAGGAGGGGGTGGTAAATGGTTTGAATCATCAGCTGAATCTGGAAAACTTTCTGCTACCCAGGATAGATCTGTAACATAGGAATCTATTTATAACAGTTGGCTCTGCTTGTGTCTGAAGATGCTTGGGTGTCTTCTAAGTTCATAACTGTTCAGGATCTTCGACTTCTTCCACTCCCTCTAGACACTATGCAAAAATGTAGTCAAATGTAGTCAAAAACGTCAATTTGCAACTTTCAGCATGCCAGTGATGCATATTGGGAGTAGTGACATCTCAAAAAAAGACCAGTTCATGGGTTCTTTGCTAATAAACGGGGAATGCAATCAAGCGAAGGAAAAGCACTTTTTACTTGAGCCAACATATTCCTTTGACTGGACAAAGTAACCATGGAAGTTTATGGCATTTCTGTTTGTATTGCAGGTGCAGGGGCTAACTCTGGCATTTCAGCCATTTTCCCAAGTACCTCTGGCACAAGCACTTTCTCGCCTTACCAGCATGCTCACAAAGGTAAGAATGCACTCAGAAAGTTAATTTAGGAGCTGATTGTTTTGAAAAGGGCATCAACAAAGTGCAACCAGACTGAAAATATCTACTGTGGTTTTCATTGCCACTATTTCTGGATTTCTAAAACTGCTGTTAGAAATAATTCAGAATTCATTTTTATTTCTTAGTTAATCAAAACTGATGTTTTAGTTAGCTGAACATAAAATGGATTTGAACTGTACTCAATAATGCCAGCAGTAAATTTAGCTCATTATTTGTAGCTATACAGAAATGGCACTCTGTCTCATCAAAAGCTTAGCTTAGAAGGGTGAAAAGAATTCAATGCACAAATATGGTCAGTCTCTTATTGAGCTAACATAAACAGTTCTCCAGCATGATTGTTAGGTTTTTAAAATATGTCAACCTGAAAACACACAACAAGAAAGATGCAGTTAATGAGGCACTGGCAATGCTGATCTTATTGGTATTGTCTGGAAACATGGTTGCGAGGGTCATGTTTTCAGAAAAATAAAAGTTTTCGTGCATTTTAGCATATCTATAGTTTTTTGCATCCTTTTGTGGGTTTTTGATTCTAGTCTTTCACATCCAAGTTCCATTTCTGAATACCTTCACATAGCTTATTTTAAATTCACCTTCTAGCCATGCTGCGTTAAAGTATCTGTTAGAAAAACATCAGTTCTTCTACATGTGCATTGTGTTCTTTTAACTGCAGAGCTTTTGAGGCAGCCATACAGTCATTTTAGCTCTTATTCCATTTGCATATTTACCTTTTTTTTTTTGTCTTTTCAATCCTTATTCCCAGAATGCAGTGTTAGAAAGGCTGCTGCTCTTGCTTACGTATAGCTTTTATGTTATTAGCAGATAATACAATTTCATACACGTTGTCTCTGATGGATCATGCCATCAAATATTTTAATGAATACTGCTAACTTGCTAATGCATAAATATAGAATTACTGAAAAACTGTTAGTTAGTTTGCTTTTGAGATGCAACACTAAGTTTTTCAATTCTTAATAAGTAACCAAGACTCAGATTAACCTAAACTAGTATGCAAGATATGTGTCAGAGCAGACTGCAAACTGTTAACTACTCTCTGATCCTAAGAGTTGCTCCTTTAAGAAAATATTATTTTCATTTATTCCAGCAGATCTTTCAGGACAAGGACATCTGGCTACAGCTCTTATAATTGCCATGTCTACCATCTTCATAATGGCTATTGCCATTGTCCTCATCATCATGTTTTACATTGTAAAAACAAAACCTTCTGCTCAAGGTAATTGTTCAGCAGGTGAAATTTTAGCTGCAAATGCTGGTTTTGGATAGCTTCTGAGAATAATTCGTGGTTTATTTTTATATTCTAGCCTGTTGCAAAAGCCACTCAGTAAAAAATGTCGAAGCTCAGGCTAACACACAAGAAGAGAAGAAAGAAGTGCAAGGTATACATTTTTTTAGTTTTGCTCTTTTTATCCAAGACAACATTGGGTTTAAATACTCTTAATACGTTTCTCTTAAGAACAATTTCTCCTTTGAATTGTGTAAAACCCACATCAGTTTACTAAAGAATTGTCTATAATAGTTTTTTTGTACTACCAGAATGTCACTTAATCCTCTGATAGCAATTAAAAAGTAGGAGAGAGATTTATGATCGCAGTAAAGTTGCCAGCAGAACCAGCTCCTGACACAAAGCACTGGTTTGGAAACTCCTCGCCTATTTAAATTTCTTTAATTGTTGATCTACAGATAACGTTGTGATATTCTCTGAGAAAGAAGAGTTTGAAAAACTTACAGCAACTCCAGCTAAGGCTGTCAAAAGGTGGGTAAAAGATAAACATACTGCCAGTTTAATTGAAGTGGGGGAAGGACATGATCACCATCCATCCTGGTACAGTGGAACACATGAAGAACAAACTTGATGGATAGGTTGCTGCAGCAGGGCAAAGACTAGGTGTCTTAGCAGGTTTTTCCTTCTCCAGTTTCTGGGACAATGGCAGACATCACCAAAGATAAACCTGTGCCCTCCCCAGTCCCTCTGTGACCAACTCATTAGCTCACTCAAATGGCCTTAGTAAGGCTCCCCTTCCCTTCCAGGCAGGAAAAGTAAAAACAGCTGCAGCAGGTCTTTTCCATGACATCATCTGAATGACACAGTGTTGTAGTTTTCCTCACCTTGTCTCTGCCTGGCAGCCAAACCTGCCCAGGTAACATGATTATGGTGGGGTAAACACTGTCCTCATTTGGAAAATCTCTCTATAAAAGGATTATTGCAAACTATGTGTGACTGTGTTACTTGGTGGGCATTGTACATACACCCTGGGCTGCAGAATGCCATTACTTTCACTGGATTTCAGAAGAAATGCATTTTAAAAAATGGAAGACACTTCTATTCAATTAATTCTTAGATAGGAAAATGGAGATGACTGGAGTCAATCCATGACAGGCTTCACTAAGATAACCATATCCTTCATTTTACAGTGAAAATGATGCATCTTCTGAGAATGAACGACTTTTAAGCCGTAGTATGGATAGCGATGAAGAAGCTGCAGTTGACAAGCAAGGGACCCCAGAGAGATGCTTATTATCTTTAGTGCATTTGGCCAGAGATAAATCTTCTACAAGCAATAAATCAACTGGGGTAAGGCTATTTTGAGATTTAAAAATTTAGAGCATTTTTCTATATTGTTTTGAAGGGAAAAAAATATACAAACTATCACACACCCCCTCAAATGCACTGTAGTGTAGACCAGACTGATTTAAAAGAGCTTCTCCAGACAAATTATTTGTAGAATCACCTTTGCATACTGACATCTATGTACATATATATGGTGCAGGGATGATAACTAGATTTTCAACCAGAGTAATAACTTCACTTTTCTCTGTATTATATTTTATAGTCTAAAGAAAGAAACAACAAAAACAGCAACCCCCCGCTATGGCTAATGCTAATAAAACTATCCCAAATGCTACATTTACTGTGAAAGATCCCTGACAATAAAATAATGTAGCAGAATGACTGGATTCAGCTGACAGTGTAGCATCTCAGTACCTTGACCCAGCTGCATCAGTATTTCCACAGCACAGATTCTCAGTAATATCCGGTGTTGTGCTTGGTTTTCATGCATAATTCTGAAAAACACACAAATGTTTTGAAGGTCGTTGCTCTGAAGGACACTGTAAACCACTGTTTGTTTTGCTGTGGAAGGTCTTTGCTTCTTCCTGCTTAGTGTGTACTGCTCAGGGCTTTTTATCTCACTTGGAGTATTTTAAGGCATAGTTAAGGCCACACCTCACCCACACAACTTTTTTGTTTGTGTTAACATGAAACTGTTCTTAAAAAGAAAGTCTCTGCTCAGATATTTTTTTAGTACTTAAAAAAATGGCAATAGCTAGTACAAAATCACATACAATCATATCAAACATCAAATATCATTTAGGAATAAAGAAGTTTGAAAATGTATCTTTTCATGTTTGCATGTTCTAAATTGCTGGGATGGTTCAGCTCAAAATTTCTAAAACAGCTCACTTTTCAGCTTAGTCCAGACACACAAAGTCTCAACACAAGTGAAATGGTTTTGTAGTTGTAAACTGCTGTGACTGTCTGAAAATAACTTCCTACTCCAATGCTCACATTCTAAAATTCAGTTTTCTGAGGTCTGTAAAAATATCCAACTTTATGATAACTTCCGTAAGCACTGGCTTGAAATAGGACAACACACCTTGGGTAGGCATGAAATCAGAACATTTAATAAGAAGCATCTTACCTTCTAAAGACTATATATAATAGATATGTTCTCCAGAATCATTTAGGTAGATATCTCATAAGCACACCTGAAGCATGAACTATTTCTTCTAAACCTTCTGGAAGAAACATACTTCTCACAGACGGAAGACTGCTGACAAGGCTGAAGACAGACTTTTCAATGAAAGTGCAGATTGCATCAAGATCCTCCACTCCATACCTAAGATGTCACAATAAAGCCACTTGCCCAAAGTTAGAAAAGCAGTAATTTGCTTCAGGCTGGAGATTAAGTAACATGACTAGCACAGGAAAGAGTATTCAGTAGCCATTGGACAAGGATAAAGAAAGTCTTGCTGTTAACCAAGTCTGCTTTTTCGTAGTTAAAACAAAATCCATTTGCAAATAGCTACCACACAGAGGATCATCAGGCTAAACATCACCTGTTTACTTTCAGCATAAGGTTTACAAACCCTCCATCTTCTGGCTCTGGTAAAAAGAGCATCCTGCACAGTTCTTCACGGGCATGGAATTGCTTAACCTCTCTCTTTACCCTAAAAGTGAGGGGAGAATGAAAATAATGATCCAGTAGTTTTCTTAAGAGGAGTTTTAATAAATCCTTTTAAAAGAAAATTTCCTGTTTACAAGGTTCTAAAACAGCTAATCCAAGCCCACAATAGCAACACGACTGATTAAGCACATGTAAATGAAACTAAGAATATGGGAACAACAATCGGTGTCTGGATTGCATTGCCCTGCAATACAAGACAGGCTTCGGGTGGAGCAGCCACTTTGTGGTCTCCAGCTGCAAGTCTATTAATCCAAGTCATTCATGTGTCTTGCCCTTTAGAGCCCAAATAAAATAAGGAAAATCTTTCCACAAAGCAAAATACTGAAAGCAGAGCTTTTTTTTCTAGCCTGGTTTGCTAGAAAAAAAAAGTGACAAATTTGTGGAGATAATGCTAGAGTCCTGTCAAAAAGACAGCTTCTCAGAAAGCTCAGTCCTAATGAGAGCTGGCACAAGGAAGAAAATTCCAGTCCTTGAGAACTCATGACATTTTGACATTTGTTTTCACTCACACTGAGTGAGGATACTTTTGCTAAATGAAACTATATAAAAATGTCCAATTTTGACTTAAAAAATGTCAGATTTTCATTCTGAGATTCTTTTTTTTGTCAAAAATGACTGGACCACCCTGGACCTCAGATTTTTCCTTTTCAAAGCTTCACTGATTTATTTTTTTTTTAATCTATCTGTAAAATGTTTCAGATTTATGCAATCATCATTGAATCAAAGAAATTACAGTTAATTAGTAATTAACTAAGTAGTTATATATCAAATGACAGAAAGTAAGATCTCCTCCTCTACAGTCCTCTTAGATCACTGGAAGAACACAATTTCAGTCTGAATTTAATTCTCTGCAGCCAGTCCTGAGCTGGTTTACCTGGACATCCCTACAGTAATTGTCTGCATGCATGATGCTGGTTTTGTCCTCATTCTCAGGAGTTTGCTTTGGTCTGAAAGCAAAACAAAATAGATGAACACTTGAAGCAGAAAAGCAATTGCTCTCAAAAAAGGCTAGAATTTGGAAAGATCTCTAGCAGTGGCAAGTGAAATCAGAAGTACATTTATGCTTCATGGAATAATGGCTGTGTCATTTTCTTTGAGGGACCCTCGAGGACACTGTGTGATAACCCCTACTACCATGAAATGAAAATGTCCCACAGATTTTCCACTTCTGTCTGCTAGTTGTTTACTTTCATGACTGAAAAACTAATGAAATCAAACTTTTCTCATTTAGATTCAAAGTCGAAGGAAAAAGATACTTGACGTGTATGCCAACGTATGCGACGTTGCAGAAGGTGAGTGCACAAAACTTGCACCTGTATTAACAGCATGAAATTAGGTCATGAAATAGTGTTTGCTGTAAGACAAGAAAGGCCTCTGCCTTTCTATGGAAATAGTCCCAATCCAGAAAAGACACTCTGTAGCCAGATTTGTACTCACTCGCCACGGTGCCCTGATCCCAGAGCTGTCTAGGCCCTGGTCTTGGGCTGGAGGATGTCACAACTTCTCTACAGTCATGTGCACAGATGGAGAGCAGGAAGAGTTGTGTTGGGCTGTGTTGGGACACACATGCAGACCACGTTGTGAAGAAGCACTCTTGCACATTCCCCATCTAGAGGAAATCTGTTTATTTAGTTTATTTAGCTAACAGATAGAAAATAGTTCCAAATATGGAAGTGTCATTTAGGGAGGGTCAGGGCTGAGGGTAAGACACACTGCTGCTCTAAATGGTGTCCCACCTCTCAAAAAAAAAGGTGGAGTTTCCAAGTTTTAAGTGTTTTAACCATGTTTAGCATGTGACTACCTGAACTGTTTCAGAAGCCAAATTCCCTGCAGAACAGTAGACATGACTGTATTTACTTCCCACCACACACACACTTCATGTGCACATGTATGAGAGTATTCTGTGGTTCAGTGAGCTCTGTCTCCCACCAAATTATTGCTGTTGAGTAAGAAGTAGAGAAACTACAGAAGTGAAAAGCTGTAGCTGATTCTCTCCTCTATTCTCTGACCATGAATACAAAGAATATATGTCCAGGAAAAAATAGCTTTTTCCCCACAGGATGAATGTTAAATCCTCTCTAGGGATTCAGTGACAGTAATGACAGTGGAGCACTTGCAGGGACTTTTATGCTTGCATCTGGCATCATTGCTTCACCTCACTTCTGGCTTTCCCACAAGGGCAACTTTCAATTACAGACATGTTTCAGCAGCTGCTGGTGACAGTCCTGGGGAAGGGTCAAAGCTGTCTCTCAAGCTCAAACATTGTGCCTGACGTGCAGAGGTATATTAATGGGGCTGCTCACTAGGGATACAGTTACAATATGCTGTTCCTAACAGCTAGTAAATTGTTGAAGGAAGAAGCAGAGCCATGGGAATTCAAACAAGCCATCTAATACTGCTTTCCCAGGCAACTGTTTACCCTAATTATTGTACCCTGAAGAATTAATTTGATAATATACAGTAATAACTTTGGAGTTAGACATACCTATCATGACCTACCACTTAAAGATTTTAGCTAACAGTATAATCTGTAGTATTTTAATAAATGTCAACACTCATGCCCAGACCCACCTGACAGTGCACGCCTCCCTTTACAGGTCTGAGCCCTACAGAGCTGCCATTTGATTGCCTGGAGAAGACCAGCCGAATGCTCAGCTCGACCTACAACACAGAAAAAGCCATAGTGAAAACGTGGCGCCACCTTGCCGAGAGCTTTGGACTGAAGAGAGATGAGATAGGCGGTATGACAGATGGTATGCAGCTGTTTGACCGCATCAGCACGGCAGGTTACAGTATCCCAGAACTGCTAACCAAACTGGTACAAATCGAGCGCTTGGATGCTGTTGAATCCTTGTGTGCAGATATTCTGGAGTGGGCACAAGCAATGCCAGCTCCTGAACCAGCAGGGACATCCTGACATGCCTGCCTGGGACCTGCACTTCACATCATCCGGAAGAAGTGTGATTCCAGCAAGCACACAAAGACTATGGACAAAAGACCATTGATGTTTCTTCTGCGTAATTGCTCCTGATAGCGAATGGGAAGTCCTTCTCTTTGACTTCTAAAAAAAGTGAAGTTACACATTTAGAAAAATAAGAACAGAAATCTTCCAAGAAGCTTGGTATGAAACATGTCAATAAACAAAATTATCATATTAACCAGTTACTGATAATAAGTGGACACACAAACATCCATTTTGCAGTCTGTATTATAAGGGCAAATAACCCTGCTGATCCCCTTCCTGCCTGGCCTTCCAGAAAGGCATTGAATAACTCTCTGAAAATATTCCTGTCTCTTAGGACTTCATTCAATGGTTTAATGGTTTAATAGTTACAGTCAGAAGCAGTACCACAGCTACAGTGTCAATTAATACACATGAGGCACGTACATTTCTGTCTGCTCCAACCAATTTCATTTTCTATGCTTACTATGAGTTTGTTGAGTCTAGAAGTATGTCCATAGATGTATATACACAGTCCCCAGATTTACTAACTATACTATATGAAAAAAGAGTCACCATAACTTACAGGTTGAAGTCCTTCAAAACAATGTACATAATGCATGTTAATGCACTCTTGGTCCATACTGACATTTCAGAAATTGTAAATTCAAACTTGCTGAGGACAAGCTGATTAGGCAAGTGGAAAAATTCGTCAGTCACTCCTTGCAAGTTGAGAACAAGTTCTTTTCTTCTTTGCTGTTAAAAAATAAAACCAGAACCTCCCAAAAAAGAAGAAAAAAATGCACCTTGTCCACTACCATGAAAAATGTAATTTTCAGGTAGTGACATCTACATATCAAATTATATTCCAAGCAGAGGAAATTCAGACAACAGTGGTGCACATGTGATAGTATGAACATAAAGAGCAGATTTCTTTAGAGACACTTTAGGTGCATAGGAAAAATGTTTTTTAAATGCTATACTCTTGTAAGCCTAGCCATAAGCACAGAATCCACCTGTGAAAACAAACTCATGTGGAAGGTAAAGCATTATTGTGAGTTTGTGTATAACAAAAGTTCAGCTAATTTTTTTCCTTTTAACTAAATCTCTGATTTTCATGGTTAAAAATTCTCTAAAACTCATTCAGACCACAAGTCAATTTCTGTTACCAAGCCTATTTGCCTAATTTATAACTAAAACAGTGATGGCAGATTTCACCGAGTGCAACCACTAAATTAAGAGATGTGTCAATTACAAAGCAATACTTCTTAAGTTCTGAAGTGCATGACTGAAAAAAATGCTATTAAAAATATTAACTATTAACCTGAATTTAACAACCAGTGTTCCATTGCTTAGTAACTAGATCTTACCTATTATAGTATTATAATTGTGCAGAACATTTAGTATCACCCTTTAACATCTATATTTAGCATCTTTTCAGCACTTGATTTGTATAGCAGAGGAAGTACATACAGCAACATAAAACCTATCCCTGTAATTCTTCTTCTTCCCCACTTTCTTTTGCATCACAAAACACTCTTCATTAATTTGCATATGCCAGATTTTATGAGAATTTTGATTCTTAACAAAACATCAAGCTGCATTTATTTGAACGTTTAACTAGTTGACTGATATTGAATTTAAGGGTGAAATTCTTGGTGTCTTGAAATTAATAACAAATTCATACAGACTTCAACAGGCTTCAATAAGATTTCTAGATCTGCTGACAACTCAGCAATCTTCAAGATTTTCAAGAGTCTGAATCTGCAGTTTTTACTACTGCTACTAGCATAAAATAAAAGGGGGAAAGAAAAAAAACCCATGAAGATTCTATTTTTCTTGTGCCAGTGTGTAACTACAGTGTTATTCAGTGGACTGCCTCTTAAGTGTGTCATTTATACTACACATCATTTAGAAGATACAAGGTAAAGAAGATATAAGAATCCTCTTTTCTATGTTTATTGGGCCATGAAAAGATAAGAGTTTTGAAATCGATGGTGCCAATGTGAATACAGACTATTTAACATTATTTTATTTAGTATACAGTATTTTTATTGTTACACAAAAGATGTACAGGAATGAAAATCAATCCTGTGGATCTTGCCAAAGCTTACTTTCTAATAACTTGTTTAATGCTGTATATATAACTTATTTTATTGTAAAGTATGAACATAAAATATGCTAATAAAATAAAGAGGTCAAACACAGTTGTATTAACCATTTCTTTGATTAATTAGCATATTGCCTTATAAATCTGTAAGTAAATGATTTATCCAAGGGCTAGCAGGCACATTCCTGTGGTATGGGAGTGTCTTGGTAACATACATGGAGGAATCTTTGCATTCTTGTAGGATACTGCTTCTTTGTATCACACTTGGGAAACTTTCGCAGGAGCAACCATTTTGTCAGGCGAGCTTGGGTTCAGTACTGTGAAAATACCAACCCCCTTGCTATTCCTCAGAGAAACTGTACGGTTTTTTCCTATTACTGAGAACTGGTACAGACTGTGAGACTGAAGAATAATCTCACAGTAACAATACTCCCTTGTTAACATGTCTTCATTCTACGTTTCTAAATTACCAGTATACACCACATTACCAGAAGTCTTAACCGGAAGCTTTTGCTGCATGACAGGATAATTAGGTTCATGCAGTCTTAGGCTGCACAGGTGAGATCCCCACAAGAACTGCTAGCTTCTGGAAAAAAACAGAGAACCAAGGTGGATTTCCCCCACAGTGAAGGTACTTACTACCTTGTAAGACCTTTCCCACCTAATTCCAGCTCTCTAGCCTGACCAATATTGTCCCAGTTTTTCCATAGAGAATGCTGGTGGATTTCTGGCTGCCATCAGGAACTGCTCTCTACATAGAGTTCGATATTCTATAATTTGAGATCATTAATCCATTATTCATGAACAAAAAGATAATGTGCCCAGCAGCATCCTTTGGAGGATGAGCTGAAAAGACGTGCCAGTTCCAATTCTCGCTGTCAAACTCAAAGCCTCATGAAGTTTAGAAGTCCTGCTTTGTTATAAAAAGGGTGTGTTTAACAGAAAAATGCTTCCTGTTGTAGGTGAAAATCATGACCCAGAGGTAAAACAATGACTCCTGTATGCAGAAGTCATTATTCTGCAAGCAACTTCTATATTCCTCTGTGATAATGAAAAGCAAATGGAGACCATGCCCTCATGTATAGGATAGATTTCCTGCTGCACATTCCATTAAATATATTAACATCAACAGGGTAAGAATGCACTGTCTCAGGGTATATATAGTTTTAGAAACATAATACTGCATATGTATTCTATCTCTCCCATCCAAATAAGCTCTTTCGATTATTTATTGTGATATGATTTATAATGCCTAGCACCTGTTACCTCAGGCATTAATTTATCACTATCAACCCCTCTTCAAGGACAGAAAAATGTTGATTCCTTTTTGCCACTCCTCTGTGAAACTAGACTGTTTGAAATGCTTATTGCAGAATGGCAAGAAGCTTTTGCATGCACTGCTGCAGAAGAAATCAGTGATTAGCCATTATACAGATCACACACAGGCATCTCAGTTGTCCATCTCCTTTAAAAAAAAAAGATAATTTTTTTTTTTTAATTATTTTTTAATAGTTGAGGCTGCTTTAAAAACAAGGTTGCAATAGGATTCAAGTTAGTATCACAAGAAAATTCAGGAATTGTTTTCCAATTTAATCCACCACACAGAAGTAAACAAAAAATCAGGAGGAGGTAACGCTAAAGACTGATTAGTAGAAAGAGAACTGAATCAAGAAGGAAGCAGAGTTCAGCACCTGTTTCTGAAATTCAGCCTTGGTGTGCAAGGCTGCTGTGAAAAAAAATCATTCCTTGCACTTCCTCACACTTCAACATGGAGAGGACAAATCAAGAGGACATCAAACTGCTATTGTGGGGAGGATCATGAACAGAAAAAGTATGTTTAATTGCATTTCTTATATAAACCTCTCTCGAATCCACACACTAGATTATTCCTTCTTTTGAAACACAAAACCAGTCTGGCAACACTAGTTATCTCCAACCTTCTTCAAAGGCCTACTACTTTTCCAAAAAGCTGATGTGTGGGTGGGATATTATGCTCCTGTTTGAAACTCTGCCATGGGATGCCTTTTTGTTCCTGAGGCTGGATAGATTATTTTTATTTATTTCCTTCATAATTAACTGCACCAAGTCTGCTATTTTATGGAGCTGAAGATGATCTTAAAATAAACTTATTATTAGGAATGTTATCCTATGCTGACCTTTCAACTACTTTTAGCAGTATCCTGGCCACTGAGTTTGCCCTAGCTTGTGCCCGTCTACCAGAGAGGTAACTTACCATTAAGCTGCAGTGATCAGAGACATGTGGTATATTCAGGGCAATATTCCTTGGGTCCAGTCTAAATATCCTTGAGTAATGGGCACAGATAGAATTGGTTTGGGGAGAAAAAAAAAAAAAACCAAAACAAAAACTTCTCAAATCTCTTTTTCTCAGTTCATTCTCTCAGTCTGACTTTGGAGATCAGAATGTCTTGTGCATTATATCTTGTTAAATTGCAACTCAGGACCACTCAAAAAACATAGCTAGAAGCAAGTAAACAGTACGTGGGTTTGTTCAAAGTTTTCTCTTCTAGTAGTGATCAAGTAGTCATACAGGACACTTGCTTACAAACTTGTGTGAAAAAGACAAGTCTAATAAATAAGGATGTTCTTAGTTATGATCAGAAGATGGCATTCAAGGGTTTCATCTATTTCTGATGAGGCACAGTGATGGTTATGACACAGCACACTACAAGAGTCAGTATAAGACACCAAGGTGCCTTTGCCCATAACAGCATTCCTCAGAGAGATGTCTAAGGTAGGATCACAACACTGCACTATTACTTTTACAATAATTTTTTGAGTTTTAAAAACGTGTGAGCATTACATCATTAAGAGGAGCACAAGTGGTCCCTGCTTTGCCACCACAGTTCCTCTAACCATCTGGCAAGTGGAATATTACCAAATTGTTTCATAGATCAAATTTTCCAACTTTCTGGACTGCATTTACATACGTTATCCTGAAGATAAATGTTTTCTATCAGGCCATCAATCTCTAAAGCCATGTAAGTTTTAGGTGAAAAATTCAGTATATTAATAAAGGATCCAGTGTAACAGCTCTGAATTATGAGCTCGACTTACAGCTCCTTTTAAACCTGGTCTGGTAAGTTAAATCATACATTTTTGACATTGATGCTGATCATGAATAGAAGATCTCAAAAAAATATGTTGCCTTCAGCATATTTTCACCTTCCATGTAAATTTATCTACTACAAGAAATCTTTCCCTAAAATATATTAACTTCAACTATATAACATGAGGAAGAGATGCAAGTCAGTCATGTACAGGAGAACTGGAAGATAATGGTGAAATCACTCTTTAAGAGACAGACCTTTTACAGATGGTGAAAGTCATAAATATGAAGAAACAGAACACAGCTGTGCAGGCTGAGTAGTGTTAGCCTATTTTATTTAGCTCTGCCAAGCTTCTGCAAATACAACTCTCCCCTGTCCAGGGAATAATCTTTCCTATAGATTTGCCACATCTAGGCTTTGTAGATCAGATCTGAAACAATGTCTTGCTCATTTATCGATAGGACACCTTTGATAAAGAGCAAGGGTGATTACAATTCTACAATAGACGAGTTTGTAAAAAAAAAAAAATATTTTTCTTCATGTTTGGTGGCTTTTTCTGGTATGAAAACTATCTTAACATGAAGAGATGCAATATTCTTGCTGACTTTCTCAATGAGGATTCTCACAGTTGTTAAAAAAATGAGCAAGACAATATTGTGTATCAATTCTTTATCTTTCCCTAAAGTAATAGGTTGTGACTACAAGAAATGTTCTTTGTTTCATGCCAGTCATGGAAGTCGATCCAATACAGTGGAGGTCAACACACAAGCAAGACATGGCAGATTGTAGCTATTTTGAAGGTTATGTGCTCTGACTGATCAGCTCCCAGAAAGTGTGAGTCCGTGCTGTTCTTTTAAGTGCAAGTACTCATCAGGTCTCTCACTTCCCCTCTAATTCTCTCTAAAAAAAATGGTTGAAAATTAATATTCTCTTGGTGAATATTAATTCACTTCTTGCCAGAGGTGTCTTGCATATTAAAATAGCATATCCCTTTGTAGAAAACCCAATAAACAGTGATCACATAAATCATGTTTCCATAGGGAATCGGGAGCCCTGGGAAATAACTACAGCTAGTTAACTTGTTTCGAAGTCCCTTGTTGTAGACAGTTTTCTGGGAGAAAGTTAAGGAAGAAATTCATACTCATAGTATCTAAAAGCTACAAAAGCAGAAAAAAACCCCAAGAAAATTCTAGATTCCATCTGCATAGGCAAGACAATACAAACACAGGCACAAAATGTGGCCTATTTGAGAGAAATCTATTCTTTCCAAAGCCCAAACCAAACCAAACCAAATCCACAAAAGAAAGCAGAGAATGCAACTAACTTCCTCTGTTCCCCTTCCCCGTAGAGACTGCCAAGGTCAGTCAGGACAATGACAAAAGGATGGGGATGTTTGAGCAAGGCCACGACAAAGACTGGTGTGGGCACCTGGAGTGGGCTGGCTCACAAGACTGATGTTCAAGGCAGTTCAACAAGCAGGTGTGTACAAAATTCGACATACCAAACTGAAGTAGAAATACCTATGGGTAAGGTACAATATTATCCTAGTACCTACCTCTGCCTGTTAATGACAAAGGTCAGCTAGGTTATCTGTGCTTCTAGTGCAGACAGCTTTATTAGTTAGCTTATTAGTAGGTAACTTTATTAGTTACCCTATATAATCAATTACAGTTGAAACAGAATAAGTCTGAAATCTCTGTTTAGATTTCTTATTTCTGATCATTTTAGTTCCATTTTTGGTTGACTGATATTTTACTTTCCTTTAAGTCGCAAGACAAACTTTTCACTTGTATTTATGCATGTCCCATAAAGGCACACAAGAACATGCAAAGCAAGGCAAACTGAAAACCTGATGGCAAATAAAACCAATTCCAAATTCATCACTGTTTTAGCTTTCTAGATATTAGAAGGCTTCATAAACATTTCTGCATTAAGAGGATTGATTAGTAATAAATTTGAGGAAAAAAAACATGGCACGGTTTATATTCTTTAAAGATCTTCACTGCAAAGTTTATGACAATGTACTACTATAAATTGTCTGTTGACAACTGGTTTCACAAAAATTCACTTCTACCATCACAAGTCCAGCCTCCATATAAGTCTACCAGAGTATATTTGTGATATTAGTTGTTTACTTAAGAATCATTACAGAGTCAAAAAATCACATGCACATTTTGAAACTTTACTATAGAATCACAGAGTCACAGGATGGTTTGGATTGGAAGGGACCTTAAAAATCATCTAGTTCCAATCCACCTACAGTGGGCAAGGACAGCTACCACTTGACCAGATTGCTGAATGCCCCATCTAACATTAGTCTCATCCTTAGGTCATCAATTTAATTGCATTAATATTTAACAGATTAAAACCAACGTTTTTCTTTTTTTTGCGTTTTAACCAGAAACCTAACATTTAGATCATACAAATTTGAAATCAACAGTGATTTAACTTTCCAGACTGTAAAATAAACCCGCATATAAATCACAAGGGGCCAGTACTAAAAGCTACACCATACTCTATGTATCTCTTTATTGCACTGCCTTTGCCATTATTAGACAACCACCTTGTATTAAATTAGGATCGCAAGTAAGACTAGTAGATTAACAAACAACAGCAATGAAGGCTGAAAACTAAGAGCACAATCAACATTCTTGTGGATGTAAGAAAGCTAACAACTTCCTACAGGTTTTACTGGTTGCTAACTTTGTGGTATTTTTAAACGGTACTGGATGGAAAATCACATGAGCACTGGGAACACTCTTCCTAAATAAGAAGATTTTGTCTCCAGCCAAAGGTACATGCAAGCTTATGCATCATCACGGCTAGGTTTCGCCAGCACTGCTGGTAAATTTGACAGAAGACTGAAACTACTGGCGAAGAAATACTTAGTTCAAAACATACCTGATTGTCAGCAAATGCTTTTAGCTACGATTAGTGTTATTTAAAAATTACCTACAACTGGTTTCCTGCCCAAAGAGTACACACTGCTTGCTCTCTCTTCTGGATGTACTTGGTGCCAAATCTGGTGTAGACTCCTTTCATAGAAAAGCTTGTCAGAAGTATTAAGTCAAATTGCTACAAAAATATGTGCAGTTAGAATTAAACTTCAAAGTCCAGTTCAAAGACTTCAGGTAAAAAAAAACCAAAAAAAACTATGCAAATGAGAAATTAACTTCTGAAGTTTTATACTGACGTCAGTGCTAGTCAAAGACTGAAATACAGCAGATCTTTAAGCTTTAACTGCATTTTGAATTTTACAAATAAAGAGTTTCAGTAATTACAGATCAGAAATGGAAGACTAATTTGAATTTTTAGAAGTATCCCATTTCCAGTGTGTAAGAACTTCTGAACACTGATTTGTGGCAGACAAAAAATACATCCATACTCAGAAAAGAAATGTGGGTACTACAAGGACTGTATTGCAAATTAATACAAAACATAGCAGAAACAATAAAATACAATAATTTTACACTAGGGATTACTATTGCCAAGCATTTTAAGAAATGCTTTTACTTACATTTGCAGAGACATTACAATCCAAAGTTGCACTAGAAATTTGTACAAAGCAGGATAAAATACTAAATGTTACTTCGATACAGGAGCAGATCATACAAACACTAAGATATTCTTAAATGAAACCAACAAAATTTCTCATTCAATACATCTAGTTATGTTAAATCAAAATCTGGTTTCAATCATTAAAACTCTAATTATCTCAAAAGATAATTTCATAAGATACCTGTCTGTTTCTTACCAACCCTAAAATAAATGAACTAATTTATAAAATTCTCTGAAGAGTCAAAGGTAACTAAGACTCACACCTGTAAGGAAAAGTTGGTATTTCTGATCTGCTTACTCAAAGGATCCAATTCCTTAGATTGCATGAGTCATTCAGAACAGCAGCATTATTTCACTTTCTTAAAAACTACTGAAAAAAGCCACTTAGCATATTACACAATTTTTCATTTTCCTTTTTATGAATAAGAATCTTTTTTATCAATGAGAATCCACACAATACAAAGTGAATTATATAGTACTAAGGTTTTGCTTAATTTATTTATAAAAATCAGTATAAAAAAATGTCAAATTTCAAGTAACACAGGCAGTTGTGTAAATTATACAGAACAATAATTAGATTGAAAGATAGTGCTATTGACTTGTGCTTAGACTGGAGGCAAGAGAGTTACCCCTCAACAATCCCAAATTCAGCAGAATTGAATTGAGGTTTATATAGAGGAAGGTGTGATCTGGATTTGTAGTCCTATGCAACTCTTGAATCATTTGGTGAAGAGCAAACAATTCAAACATCTTCTTATTGCTTCTGCAAAAGATTTGAAATAAAGTAACTTTCAACTGAAAATTGAGAGGTTTCATCTAAAGATGCTATAGAAAATTAATTTTTTTATGAAGAAAAATGTGCACTATATTGGGAGTTCCATATAATTCTTCTATGTTGTATATAGTGTTTCTAAACAGAAGGTTATCAATGTATTGTGAGCAAAATCTTGGTAAAAATTACCAAAAATTACCATTTTGGTATATAATGATATGTATAGTATAATGAAAGCTCAAGGAAAGACTAACAGGGTTTTTCACTCATGTGAAATAAGGTTCCAGAGACAATAAATAAAAAATTTAAAATAATTAGGATTTCTGAGCCAATTTTGCTTTTACTGTATTTCTAATGTCAGTTATGATTTAGATTAGATTATTTTATAGGAAAACTTATTTTTTCCAGAGTTCAATTTTATTCCTTATAAAAATTAAAATCTCAGTTTTGTCAACAACTTTAAGTCTAATGTAAAAAAAAATCACTCAGTTTAGACAACCGACTTTCATAAATGAAACAAGCCCATTAAGCAATGCACCAGTGGAGATCAGCAGCACATTACCACTGATTTGATGACCTCTGTTACAATAAACCAATAATCAGTAAACAATGGGAATATGTTTTAAAAAGATTAACATTCCCAAAAGGGCTTAAATGGCTCAAAACTTCAAATTTTGTTTTTGAAGGAAATTAAAACTGATGAAACTAGAATGCAATCACAGATGAGACTAAATTTTCAAAGGAGATTACTACCAAGTATCTGAGTAAAACTGAAGGTCAGAGATTCCAAATCCCCAAGTTTACTGATCTAATAATAACTAACAGAAGAATGATAATAAAGAATTACTTTATTCTGGAGAGTTTTTGCAGTATAACACAGAGCTTTTCCAAAACTGGAACATCTAGCTTAGAACTTCGAAGCAATATAGAACAAGTGCGGAAGAAGGATTCATTACTGCACGCTTCCAGGAAAGGCTGTAAAGAACCTGTAAAAGGAAATAATTTTAAAACTGTTTCACAGAGTTCAGTGCAGGGAAAAGTACAACAACTATTGATACTTTATAAAGAGTTTTAAATGCTTCATGTTGTGCAATTCCTAGGACAATAAAATTACTCAGTTTATGCTAAGCACGTCATACAAAAGTCAGGTAAAACTAGAAACTGAAAAAATGCAAGTTCCTGAGAGATCTGACACAACTGATCCTTGTATTAAAACAAGGTCTATTCCCTTGAGAAAAAAGGAAAACAGGAAACAGAACAATTTAAAACTCAAATAAAAATTCTTATACGGGACATGTTTATTCAGTGCTCATTTATCATGATGCTTTCCTTTTGATTATGATTCTTTCCTTTTGATTATGATTATGCAAAAAGACTCAGTGTCATGGTTTAGGAATGGTGCTAGCTTGGTGCTTCCACTGAGACTCTCCAAACCATGCTCCCGTTGAGGTAAGAACAATTTACTGGAAACAGCAATGAGATAAGAAAACAAACATTTAACAGCAACAATATTAACAACAAAAGTGTTCAGAAGAATGATTCACATGCAAAAATGCTCACTGCAGAGCTAAACCCAACCCAGTCATGGCCACGCCACCCCAACTGCTCCCTCTGGCTCGGAGCCAGCACTACTCACTGCTCCTCCCACCACACTTACTCAGCCAGAAGGCAATCCCTTCTCCTTCCCCACCCCTGGCTATGAGCTGAGGTGGTACAGAATAACCTCTGGGTCCTGGCCATGACCCCTCCTGGCTACTGCAAAATTTAACCTTGTCCTGACCCGAACCAGGACACTCAGAAAGAATATTTTAAACTGCTGCAAATCACGTGGACAGGGATAGTACGTCTAAGAGGTTGTGTGAGACCTGACAGTCTTTCGTTATCAAAATATCAAAATCTCTGTACTCTGCTTCAAGGCAGGCAACATAATAATTGAGAGGCAAAAGTAAGTGCTGGATAACAATTAAATACTAACAAAACTCCCTTAAAATAGTGGATGAGATTTTATGTCACACTGTATAACATTTCCCTGTACCCTGTTTCCCAAAATCTAATCACTTCAGAATAAGATCAAATCTGTTCCCTTGTTATCTCATTCTTGATTCTGACATTACAGGCTAATTTTTAGCAAAAACATAGAGAAAATAACTAACAATTTGGTTTTCCTTAAAATTAAGACTCTTTCATATAGCATAGAGTATTTGCATTAGTAGAATACACGTATTAGGAAAATAATGTTCACATAATGTTAAAATATTTAATATGTTCCACTTAAAAAGAGACTTCACTATGCAAATTACAGCATAAATCAATAAACAAGACATTAAAAAATTCTCTGCACATATGCTGAACACTGTAATTTAAAATAGGATGTCAAGATGCTTTTATCAGTACAAAGAGAACAGGATGTATGTTTTGGTCAAAATTTTCCTTCTCCTTGTCCAAGGACATACAACTTATTAAATATAACAAGTAGCCTTGGAGTGAATTCAAGGTTTAAATTTATTTCAGGTTTACTGATACAACATCAGAAGAAATGCTACAGAAAACTATCTGGAATAGGGCTTAAAAAAGAAGTCAACTTGGCTTTTAAAGTCAGCTTAAGAGCCCAAACAACTAATCTTCCCATACCTGGGCATTTATACTGAATATTCCATAAGGATCGAGTAATTCCTATTCCAACAAATGACCAAGTGCCACCTACTTGATACAGTGAACTCATGAAACTTGTGGGCCTTTGCTGGTTTACACCCTCAGATCAAGAGACTGAGAGACATCAAATGCCTTTAACACAGATCAGAGAAACTATGGCCATGTGTAATCTTTCCTCTCTTTTCAATAGAGGTGCTTTTGGTAAATTGATTTAAAATGCTGGATTCAACAGGTAGAATCCACAAAATACGTAATAGGATGTGTGGATGGAAACCATACAGATGCAGGATATTAAGAGAGTTTGGTAGCAAGAGGACAACCTTGCAGCAATAAAAAGTAAGATGACAGCTGATGTATTGTGAAGTTTGGAAAAGGCAGGAAGATGTTTTGTGGTTTGCATAGCTAAAGTTTCCTCTGTTCTCTACCCAAAGCAACAAAAAACTTTAATTATTCAAAGAGATATACATTACTGAGGCAGTAAATCATTATTAATTAATCTGGTTTTATGTTTATAACTACTTCCATGTTTCTTGCATTCTTTCTACCATGTTCAATCCACTTATGATTTTATGCATACTGCTCTCTCACTTTTGGTACTTCTTCCAGTTACAATTTGCTGTCTCAAAACTGTAATAGCAATAAACATAAAACCTAAATGAAAGTAAAGAATAAAAACAAGCAGTAATCAGTAAAAAATATACTGATAAAGGGATAAGTAAAGATTCTATTTCTTGTTTTATTTTACCTTCTGGTCTTCAAGGCATACCACTTCTAATATTTCCTTTTAATATTTCCTTTAATATTTCTGTACTTTAGCTGCAGAAGGTATTATTTTTCAGAAACTGTCATATAAAAAAACCTCAGGACTATCTGTCAATTACAGCAAACAGAAAATCCTTAGACGAGTTCACCAGATGTGCTACATTCAGTGATACAAGACTGACATACACTCAAGATTCAGTGCTCTTTACTGAGCTCCTGCTCTCTGTGACAGAACTCTGATGTTATTAAGTACATACAGCAGTGTTTTAAACCTGCAAAAATAATTTAACTCAGGATTCACTTCTAGTATGATGGTGTAAATCCCTAGGGAGTCTAACTTGTTAAAATCCATGCAAAGAGGTGACAAAACTAGGAAAAGAAACAGCAAGTAAGTAAACCACAATAAACACCATCTACCATCTCAAAAGTACTTCCTGACAAAATATTTCTATCACTTAAGAGTCTTTGTAGTAAAATTTCTATACAGGTAGCAAAAAGAGATAACCATCTCTAAAGCAAGAAAAACCTAGGACTACAAATTACACAGTCCATAACTTTATAGTAATTCTATAGAACTACAATTTTATAGGAATTCTAAATTTGCTGAAGGTCCCACAAATGACTGCCTCTTCTCAAGAAACAGAAATGGTCCTATCAACTTGGACTGTATCACTGCTAAAGCCTGTTTTAACAACAGAAACTTAAAACTAAGTATCTCTTACTTAGCAAAGATACCTGTTAGAAAGTAAGAAAAGTGTAAGTAAACATGAGAACAATGACATTCAAGAAATAGAGAAGGAAGGTTTTTCTTCTTTCTATTGCCTGTTAAAACAACATATGGTTTTATAAAACCCTCATTTAGCATGACTTCTGACTCAGTTGAACTCTGATTGATGAGATCTGAACGTAACAAAGACTGCTTCGATGAATAAGGCAATCCTACAATTTATTCCTATAAATATCCTTAAATAGGCATAAAATGCTTTCGATTCCTTTTCTGCAGGGTAAACAAACACCATATTCTGATGACCTGGACACTTCTTTGCTGCCTGGACTCTTACTTGTTCCTTAAACATATTACATTAAAAAAAATTATATATATATACACAAACACACACATACATATACGTGCTCTAAGAATGGTTTTGACTGTGAAGTTTACAAATTAATGTAAAAGACAGTATTACTTTTAAGATAGAGGATTTTTCCCATAAAACAGAAGGGCCAAAGTGGAAATAAATTCTAAAAGTTCATAAAGTTCAATCAAGTGAAAGCAAACTGATAAAAGCAGATGTTGAAATCAACTTTCTGTACAATGCTTGTATACTCACTTCAGGTTTTTGTAGAATATATTCTCAGTAATCAGAAAATAAACAAAACATATAATTTAAATGCAACTCTAGCTGATTAACTAAAGGAATACAAGCTTCACCTTTTTAAATACTATGGTGGCTTAGATCTGCATAGATTTTTGATTTTATTTAACTATTTTAGAAAAACTAAATTGGAATTCTTCCTGGCAAGACTTCCTCACAATTTAAAATATCTACAAAAGCCTCCACTGGTATCCTTAAAAAATTGCAGGATGTTGTCATTGCATTAACTTAGCTTGACTGGTAGACTGCAATGAACAATGAGCAATTTATCACTGTTGACAGAATTCATCTGAAATTTACCCTCAAAGTAATCAGTCACTCACAGCATAAAATCTCACCAGCTACAGTTATCCAGAAAATTCTGGTTCATACATAAAGCTATGACACTTCAGAAAATTTAAATGACAACTCTAAGTTCATGTTTTAACAAATTAATGATTACAGTTTTGTCTCATTTCTAATTGTGTGAGGATCTGCTGGGAGAAAGGGGACCACATGACAGCAACGCAAGTGAATGATGGAGCACTCTCTACTAGTGTGGAAAAGTTAACTAACAAAAAGTTAACTATGCTCCACAGTAGGAACACTTCAAAGGAAGCAGCAATATCACTTGCTTATATCCAACAGTCTATAGCACAGTCACCTGTAAGATTTGAACCATTTGCTGAATTTATCATTTTCTCCTGTAATCAGTAGCCAGGACTGTTAAGTGTCAGTGCTTAAAGCACAGTGTAGGTGCTCACATAGGTGACACTGAATTAACAGAGCCCAAGTGACAACTTCAGCTGGTCACCCAGTATGTGTTGATTCTCAGTATGATCTGAGTTGCTCCTTGGTTTTCTAGGGTGTGAAGACATCCACACAAACATGAGATAGGATGTATAGGAGACCAATATCATTCTCAAATGGCAACTGGAGGTTACATCCAGAAGAAAAGTTGTAATAGAAAAGGTTAAAAAATTAGCAGGAATATTTATGTCACAAGAGATGCTTGGAATGAAAAGAAGCCTACAAGGAAAAGAAAAAAGGTCAGAAAAGAAAGCTATGCCATGAAGGTCAGAAACTATAAAAACAATAGTATGAAAAGTCAAGTTAAGTCAGACCTCCTTAAGAAAAAAAAAGTTCTCCCAGATCTTTAAATAAAAATAGAACAAAAAAGAGGTAGTGAGGTCATCTCACTAACCAGGCCCACTAAA